CTGAGTTAAAGGAATTGCAGTGTACTGTTCCTACTACTAGCTCTTTGCTTCAGTACCATTTATCTTGGCTGATAATGGTATGAATGAAGAACATACAGTAGATATTAATCAAATGCTAAGTGTTACTTAATCACTAAGAAGCTATTAAAAAAGATCATTGATTTTAAAAATCAACATGTAATTAATTTAAATTTCGCATTGACAAGGTTTTTTAGATCATTTAGCTATCACAATGCTTAGTCCAGCAGCGACTTTACTTGGAGGAACTTCAGTTCTTTTTAATTGAATATGATAATGATAGTTTTCTGAAGTTTGAGGAACTTCAGTTCATTTAGTTGAATACAATAATGTCAGTTTTCTGAAGTTTCAGTTCTTTTTAGTTGAATATGATAATGGTAGTTTTCTGAAGTTTCAGGAACTTCAGTTCTTTTTAGTTGAATATGATAATGGTAGTTTTCTGAAGTTTCAGGAACTTCAGTTCTTTTTAGTTGAATACGATAATGGTAGTTTTCTGAAGTTTCAGGAACTTCAGTTCTTTTTAGTTGAATATGATAATGGTAGTTTTCTGAAGTTCATTGAAGCTAGTTATTGCAAATAATTTACAGCTTACATGTTAGAAACCGGTGTAACTGAATACCACACTTATACTATATATTCTCAAACTATTTTTAGACGTTAGCAGACATGACTTTTACTTCACAAGAAATAGATAATTTACAAATATATGCAAAACTTGGCTTCTTGAATTTTGTTTTTATGTATTTTCTTTTTAAGTGAACAGTTATCTGTGAATTGTTATATTTGGTTCAAAAATTATGATATAATTAGCTTTACATGTGTGTCCCTTACGGATAAATTTTAGGGAAATTTGTTTGACATGGTTAACTTTATAAAAAATTGTATTCTTGAAATATATCTACATTAAGAAAATTATATCTGTAAAGTATATATGTACGGTGTATTATTAAGTAAAGAAATAATTATTTTGGTTTTATTATTTCAGGAACTCGATAGCAAACTCTCAGAACATGTGATGGCTCTTCATGCTGGACGAGCCAAAGAAGGAGGTGGAAAAGGAACTCTGAAGCCAACAGTATCAAACTGCTCAACTCCTATTAGTATATTAAGCCAACTAGAACGTGTAACCAGTCAACCTCTTAGTGAAAGGCTGAAATACACTCCAAATGAGAAATGTGATCCTATTCCTCACCAATTACTAAGAAAATATTTTGCATATGCTCGAAAATACGTCCATCCAAAGTTATCTTCTGAAGCCTGTGAAATCCTTCAAAAGTTTTACTTAGAGTTACGAAAGCATCATCAAACTGGTGAAAGCACACCTATCACTACTCGTCAGCTGGAATCTATGATAAGGCTGACTGAGGCTCGAGCTCGACTTGACCTCCGAGAAGAATGCTCTCAGCAAGATGCCTTAGATACAGTGGAAATAATGAAGTACAGTATGTTAGACACATACTCTGATGAGTTTGGGTTACTGGACTTTCAGAGATCACAGCATGGATCTGGTATGAGTGGTCGCTCTCATGCAAAGAGGTTCATTGCTGCATTAACAAAAGTAGCAGAAAAAACTTATAACTCACTTTTTACAGTTCAACAGATGCGAGAAATTGCCACTGACATGGGAATACATGTATTGGATTTCCTTGGTTTTGTGAGCTCTCTGAACAACCAAGGATTCCTCCTGAAAAAAGGACCAAAAGCTTACCAACTTCAAACTACAGATTATTAGTTGTTTTTGTATCCTAAAATTTGGCTCTTGTAAAAAAGATAAGTTAAATAAAATCCACACCAGTATTTTGTATGTTGTATTTCATATAAATAAAAAAGTAAAGGCAGCCCTTTCATAAAGACGTCAAGTTCTTAATTGTACATTATTTCATTAAATAATCTTAGAACATTTACAACTGATACACATTATATTTTTTTAAACATGTAATCCAAACATCCATTCTAAAATGATAAATTATCTACATAAACCTTTTACTCCATCACTGCTTTGATTATTTTTCAATTAAAGACAACTTAGTGATGCAGCATTACAGATATAGCTTAACGCTTGTCTGATAGGGCCTCCGAGTTCCACCCTTAGCAGAGGTCACATATGAACTAGTGAATGATACCTTCTCCTCCTCCCAACTGAAGCTCTTTCAAGCATTCCTAGGTTTTACTAATTCCAGGAGGGTTTGTGGGGGAATTTCTGGTAAAAGTTTAACATGAGAAAATCCTTCACTAAGGCTAGTTTCTACCTGTGTAAATGGACAGATTCCCAGTTCTACTTAGTTTAAATCAAGAATACTATAGGATTTTTATCTCTTTTTTTTTTTTTTGTTCATAATGTTAAATGCTTACCTGTACACTTCTTTTTTTTTTATGACACAACTTGTGATTTGTTTACGAATACAAAAACACACAACTTCGATTGTACATTTGTATTTATTGACACATCCGTTTATTAAGTTATGCACCAAGAACACTTCTAGGGTAAATGTGTATCACTTAAACATATGTAAATATTTTTTTCAAAATGAACTTTAATAATTTGCAAATTTACAAAATGCAAAATATAAAAAAATAGTTTTAACCTCAGAATTCAAACAAGCAACTCTCAATTCCAATAATGATTTGCATACAAAAATAATGTATTAATCCAAATACCCTTATTACCTTTTTTTTCTTGTAAACTATTTTGTAGTACTTGGCTTAATTGAGTGAAGTACATTTGTCTGATAAACAACACACATGAATTGTGATTAATAAAAATTCATACAATATTTGAGAACTTTTTCTAACAACAACTCTCAAGTGTAACATTCTGCTTTATAAGGTTCAGAGTATTGAGGAATATACAAGCTTTTAATACACAACAGTTTGTTGTTAATAATGACTCATCTCCCTTGCTCCTGATGCCAGAGAAAACTGTATATATGTAAACTATGAAAAGGAAGGATGCCACAACCTATAACATCCAGTTACGATAACAGTAGGAAATTATAAGATACAGTGAAAAAAAACGGTTAACCAGAATTAACCTCAATTCACATGCCTCTCCTTTTACCAAAAGAAAAGATGCACATGTGAGTGCTAAAGGACACTATGTCCAACACTGCCAGCTTTCACTGTCTACAGCCATTGCGAGAAGGTGGATGCTTAGTAAGAATGTAAAAATATATGCTAATTACTCATCACATCATGTATTGCTAATTTATATTTATGCATAAATACAATGATATGATTACTTTAAATAATTTAGTTATAATTTGTCACAGCAATCTGTAAATAGAGCAAATTATACTTTATTTCTGAAATTGAAGCTCATTATTTAGATTTCTTACGTTTCTTTGTAATATTGATATTTTTAGTATAATTTTCGAATTTATGGACTTTCCTCTCCTTGTAGTAATATTTCTTCAGCTCTAGGTAAAACTATTTATCACAGTTGCAAAGATATATCTAACAATTAAGTTTTAGTTACTAAACTAATATTTAGTGAATTTTATCAGTGACATTAAATGTATCTTACTTTATTATTTCACACACATATATATATATATATTAGTGTCTTTTAATTAAATGTGGTCAGAAAAACTTTCATAAAACAGTTCACCTGAGCTGTCCTAGTTAACAGTAGGCTATTAAGTGTAGAGGATGGGGTGATGCTATTGAAAACCTTGGCTGAAAATATTTTAATACATTTAAGTATAGTATAATTTTGAACCTCAACATCAATCATTCATTAGTAGTTGCTTACAGTATGACTAACTACTTCACCATTTTGGGGGTTGGAACGCTTATGTCAAGGGATAAGTTATACTTATCAACATTTACTGGGCTATTTTATTAACATGCTTGTTTTTTTATTTTTTCGAAGCAGCCATCTTCCCACAATTGGCTACAGACAGTGAAAGAGGGTATAAATGATATGTTATTAGCTTGAGCACTTATTTTTTTTTAATAAGTGAGGTATGCAATTTGAGGTTAATTCTGGTAGATGGTGTATCCCTACTACTTTGTAGGTCCTACTTTTTCAAGTACCACTAAACCAAGATGCTACTGCATTATAATTTGTAACATGGTATTATTGTTTGTATTGTCCTTCCTGCTGTATGTCTTTAGGCTTGACTTTTATAGCTTACATAACTATAATTATCATATCCTTCCTGATGATATTAAATTGTTTTGGTTTTCTAACTATATCTGTATAATGTTTCAGTAAGAAATTTTCCACATATACTTTAGAAACCAATTGATAATACAGTAAATATAGAAAGCTGGAATAAGTGCAGATTTGTGAAATATCTAGAGCCACGATTTAAATAATCTATACATCCAGTTGATCAGGATGACACAGTAAACTAGACACAGAGACCATTAAAAAGAATGTTCTAAAATTCCTAAAGTAAGGAACAGTACAAAATTCGTACTAAGAGCTATTGTATTAAGAAATTACAATCCTCTGCTAAAAAACTTGGGTAAAAAAAAAAAAAAGAAGTCGAAACATATCTGAGGAACTGTATAACCAGTTATTTTGCTAAAGGGCTTCATTAGTTTAAGTTAATTAAAATTTTCATCCATCAAACAAGAGGAGGAAAAAATCTTGACTGCTTTGTAGAGACAAGTTGGTAACCACAAGTAAAAACATTCCATGATGTGATTTAACAGAGAATCCTTAAGTAGGAGTAATATGAATATTTCAAGTATTCCTACATGACTATAGCCAGACCAACTGAAGGGAATAAATTGGACAGATTCAGTTTTCACACTAACCACCAATACAAAACATCAGCTCACTAGTAAAAAATTTTAGTTGGCGACTGTCATTTTTGAGCAACACAGAATAAATTAAATTAGAACCGTATTTATAAGAACTTGTATCTTATCAGAATCACTTATGCAAGTTTGTGACAAATACTAAAACCAGTTTTACTCAGAACGGTTACGTTACTTCAAACAAATACTTGTATATGTAAAATAAAATTCATGCTGATTGAAGGTGTAACGTTTTTAAAATACTGTATGTCTTCTTTTTTCATTACTAGGTTATATACTATAATTATATAATAATGGAAAAAAAATACTGGAAATATCACTTGACATTGCTCTCCTCGCTCTAGCGAAACAGGACATCTATACTTGGCTAAAATTTCTAAACCGTTAGTAATTATTGCTACCAGTTTTAATACAGTTTTATTTGTAAGCATATGTTTGTGCACACTAACTGCGCAAACATTTTAATAAAACATCGTAACAAAAGGGCTGAAGTTCTATATAAATCTCTAATAAAATAATTGAATAAATACTTATGGTTCTGTGAAATTATTATGATGTATATTTGTTTAAGCTTTTTTTATTGCTTTTGAACTTTAATATTAAGTAGTTCCCCCCTCAATGTATGAGGGGGGACATACAAACATAAACAATGACAGGTATACTTTATTATTACACCCCTTGTAATCACAACATGAAATTAACTCCTCAAATAAAAAAAAAGGACAGCAAAAGTTTCATTTGTATACATAACCATTTCATTCTTTTATAAACATGGTTGTTTATTAAAATTCTAAAAAAAATCTTTTTAAATACCAATTTTATCTCACTCTCCAAAGAATTTGGTATTTGGAAAAGCATCTTCAAAGTCTTGTGCAATCAATTTAATGTGTTATTGCCATCTAACAGTTCAAAATTTAGGAACTGTTGATGTTTATGTAGTTTAAAATATTACAAAAAAAGCTGCCAGGTATGTTTGTATCAGGAGTTCTACAACAGAAAAAAGTTTCTAAGATCTGGTTGAAGAAAATCTCACATTAATGAATATTATATGCTTAAATCTGGTAGAGTCGTTTATGAAAAGAAAGTTGGTTGTTAAAGTGGCCATAGTAAATCCTCCTTCAACATAAGCTTTTAATAATCTCTTCATTAAAAACTTACTTGTGACTTGAATTTCAAAAGAGTTATATATATACATAGGGATTATTATACTTGTTATAATTCTTATGCTGTACAAAATATACAATAAGCAGCTTTAATTTTTTGAACAAAAATGTTATGCTAAAGTTCAACACCATTCTACTACATTGCTGGCTAACAAAAAAATAAAAAACAACACGGACAAAATTTGAGTATGTTATTTCTGCAAAAAAAAATCAATGAAACATACAATTTGAAACATTTCATTTTCAGCCAATAATATTGGTGTAATAAACCTTTAAGAAAACCACCACACAAAGTGGATATCACACTATGCCATGTTTTAGTTGCTAATCTTAAAGGTAATTGTCTTCTAGTTCTTTTGTACATATATATTTAGGAATAATACATATCATTAGTTAGTTATCTTTTCTGTAAACAGTTTTAGAATATCCAAGCACCATATTTCTCAATATCTACCTAAACAGAAAGATTAAATGTGGTTAACAATGAGCTTTGCTCATGCTCTATGGTACATAAAAAAACAACAACATATGTATTTAAATAAAAAATAAACTAGCTTTTTACAAGTAAGGAAACATTACTGTATTTCCAAGAAAAGGTATTTAAAAACAGTTCAGACAGGCTAACATACATCTGGAGAAGGAGCAATATATTTTTAAAAACAGACTTGAAAGCTTGGACTCCCTGAAGGGATCTTGGAGTAGTCTCACTGTAAAGTCATCCTTGGCCAAAAAAAGGACACAAGCTTCCATTGTAATTCACTAGTTTAAGTCTCACTGCACCCTGTGCTATCATCTCACCATCTTAGATCTGTAGTTAGTAAAATAATATGGCGGTAGTGTATGAGCCTTTTCTATTTCATATCTACGTAATACAAAGAAGCTGCAGAGAAAATAATTATGTAGGTAACAAACACAACGTAAGGAAAATGTCTTTTTGATATAATTCAAGCTTTTAGAATTTTGGCATTCAATTTTCAATACTTTATCTACGAAGGAAAGGGTTTACTTTACACTAAGTAATTATCCAATAAAACTAGTTGCTTATATAAAAACTGATATGTTCTTGTAGCTTAGAAACAAAGGACTCCATGACTGCTCTCGTTACATTACCTAAGAGAATGCTACTTTTAATGTTTCAGCTTACAGCATCTTACAGTCATTTAAAAGAGTTACTGTTAACAGAAGTAATATTAGTGTATTAAGTCTAAACATTCCAGCTTATCAAAATACCATTAAGACTAAAATGTCATGACATGTCACATATAATGTGTATTTACACTTCTGGTCTAAATTTGTTGGGAAATAAGAAAAGGTACCTTCAAGAAAATTCAACATGTTTCTCAATAATGATTTTCCAATTCTTTTATACAGAAAAATATCATCCATATAAGCAAAAATAAAAAAAACTGTTGTTTGAGCATATTTTAATTTTTGACATGATGAAGAACAAACAATTCAATTTCTTCTCATCTACACAGAATAAGATCATATTTATCAGAAATTTCCACAAACTCGGATATTTTCATTTTCTTTTATAGAGAAAAAAATTAAATAGATTATAGATATAATATTTATATAAAAAGAGCAAAGAAAGTATAAATCTTGGGTTTGAAAAAAAAAGTTTTCAAAATTACAGATACATAAGACTCATTTACTGAATATCGATAAAAACATCTATGTGCACGTCACTATTTAAACTACCGAGATCAAGTGTGCACACTTTACCTTTCAAAATAGTTAGATCACATAAAGCACAATTAAACTTTCAATCTGATGTTATCAAATAATGCACGTTTAACTTTTCAAACTGATTATGTTAAGTACGACACATTTAATCTGGTTGGACATGCACACTTATCCTTCTAAATTGGGTATAGAGGGTATACTGAACCTCTTGATATTACACATTTAACCACTCAAATTCCAGAGGTTAAACTGGTATACTTAACACTGGAAGATTCTTTCATTCTTTGAATCTGTGGTGTCTAAAGCAAACAAAAATTACACTTACAAGTATATAAAAATAATTTCTGAAATAAAAATTCTTTATACACAGGGCAAACTAGTCTCTAGAAGACTGCAAACTGAAAAATCTAAAGTATTATTGAAACTTTTAAAGGTGGTGAAACACGAAAGCTCTTTAAGCATAAGAAATGCGACAAAAACACCATATTGGTTTGAAACCGAATCATATTCATTAGGTGTAAAAGAAACTGGAAAACAGATCATCATTTGGTCACACCCATGTTTATGAACTGTATGGTTTCTACCAAGTTTCAGTAAATACTTGGTGTCCCAGTACACATTATAACAACATAACTTTCAATATAAAGATACATAAATGTCCAGAAGTAAATGTTTGAAACCAAAAATATAATCAAGCAGAATATCAATACTATCTAGTTTGATACCAATTTCAGTGACAAATGTAGTAGACTGTATAATTGTAGGCATCCAAGGTGGTGATCAAAAAGACAGGTAAAGAAATAAAGACAAATACATAAATAGCTGCTTTATCTAATGGATAATTTGTTAGTTTCAGTGATTTCTCTTGAAGTAGGAAAAATAATTTTTGTATATCATAATACAAATGCCATAACTGTGTAATTTTTCTGAGAACTTAACAAAACACTAATTTATCTTCTCAATGTACCTTTGAAATTCCACCTCTATTTAAAATTCCATGCAACTTCAAGAATGAGTAAAAAGAGCTTTTCGTACATCAGGTGTCATGAACAGATGATGTGATAATTCTTCTGCTGATGGTCTCTCTTCAATATTTCTGAAATCACAAAAACAATTTCTGGTGAAAGAGTCTAGAAATTACATAGCGGTGAGCTATAGTTCAATTTTTCTCATACTTGATTGATGCATTATCTTACTTTAATTATTAAAACTTAATACAACTCATGTGTATGGTATGATTAAACCAAAACATCATGACAGAGATACTTAACATTGTTTAATCAATAAATCATGGAGGTGAATGGTGAAAAGAAAAAAAATGCAGGAGTGGTTGGGTATAGAATATCTATTACTCTTAGCAGAATGAAAAATAGATGAATAAAGTGTATAATTACATAACATATATGATACACTTTTTAATAATTTTTGTTTTTATTAGTAATAAACATATGCATTTTCTGAAAAATATAGAATCTGTTAAGGTGTATAAAAAACTGGACTTAAATAAGTCAAGACAATTAACACATATTTCAAAATCAGAAAGCAATGAAACACCACTGTAGATTACTCTAATTAGGTGCATTAAATGCACACTAGGGGGGGGGTGGTGTAACAATGAGGAAACAATGCCTGAAAATTGGATGAAAAACACTTCTGAAAAGCAGATACTACACACAACTCAACTACTTGAGATAAAAACTACTTAATATTTCTTGCCAGTACAAGCAGGTTCTCTTAAATATAGATTTAAGCTATACAGAATTGGAAAGCAGCAGCTGGACAAAAGGACCAATTTAAAACATAACAAAAAAGTGAAATGTTCTGAAAGACTTTCAGAGAAAAACAAGATAATTACAATAAAAAATTTTAAATGATTATAGAATTCCTAATAACTTGTTATAACCATGTTTTGCCAAAACCAAAAAAGGTGTGACCCATCCATCAGAATCTAGGAAAGAGAAAAGAGACTCATTGTTAGAAGTTCCAGAAAATCCTAGTAAATAAAGATTGAATTATCTCAGACATAAAACCTTGTTTCAGTGTTTTGAGGAGTTTAAAGGTTTTAGCATAAGTAAAAATGTCTCTTAAAAATTTATCATAGAATATCTTTCAGCACAGTAATGTTTTTTGCTTGTTTGTCATTAAGCACAAGAAGTTACCTGTCCTGTGCCTATCATGAGAATCAAAAAATCAGGTTTTGAATGGTGTATCGCTGAACCACTGGGGGGCCAGTGCAATGATAATGAAGAAAGCTCTAATGAAGATAGAGTTACTGAATGTTCTAAAGATATTAACATTGTTTGTTTGAAAATCTATGATGGACTTAATGTAGCACGGCAAGTTTCTAATGATTGTACTGAACTATATTTGTATATTTATATTCATGGTAAAAACTACTCAATCTGAATTGCTGACCAGAAGAGAAACAGCCAGTCAGCAGCACTCTATTGCCCATGTTTAGGGATTCACTGTCACTCTTATAATGCTCCCATAGCTTAAAGAGAATATTTTGTGGTATTGCATAGGTTCAAACCCAGCTCCGAAATACAGAGCTCCACCACAAGGTCAATATAATAAAGCAAAGTTTTTATTACTGTTTGAACCAGAAATTGTTGGAAATTTCACTGATAACATGTATGCCCAAAGAACCAGCCTTTTGATTCAGCCTGGCTTGGGCGTACTAAGTTAAAATTCACCCCAGGATGTTAAAGTTTCATTCCTAGTCTCTTTCATAATGTACAGTGTTGTAACCAGATGTTTGTCGCCTTTCCTAAGTCAGCCTGTTACCTACCCACCATTAGGTTTCATTCTTGGCATATGAATTTCATGCTCATTCTCCAGCTTCAGTCTATAGGAACATTTTCTTAGGTCACCAGATGACAAATAGTAATTCAATACTTGATCATTAATTAGAGCATAAATAGATTATGATAATTCCAAATAGTGGATAACAAAAAGAACATCCCGTAAAACAGAAGCATCGCTACCCACTGGCACATGGAGTCCATGCTGGATTCTATTTGAGAATTCCCAGTTGGTGCCTTAAAAAATCAGAATAAAAAAACGTGATTGATATCATACTGAAATGCCAAAAATTCCCGCAAGTTATGGAACTCAACAGAAAAGTGCCAAACTTCATGACCTTTGGTACAGGGTGAGGGGAGAGCCTTACTCTTTTCATGCAAAAAGAAGAATTGTCATTGGTCAAGCCAGGCTTTTACACCATCAAGTTGCATTTCTGTGGCTCACCAGAAAAAACTAATTTAGTAGAACAACCTGAACATATACTGAAAGTTCTTTAACTTTATGTAAAGAAGGATTTCACCCATCTGAGAGGTCTTCTTGTGAAGCAAAAAGTTTGGCAATTAACTGAGTATATCTCTCTGTACTTTATTTTGTGATTTCACTAGTATGAATGAATTAGAATTGAAATTTGATGCAATTCATATGAGTTGTTGATTAAAATGGTGTTGTGTCGTCAATACTGACCTGGATCAAAGTGCTGAATTTTTGTCTGTGTGAAGGCCATTTCTTCACCATGGTTTTGATGTGTTGACATGTGAGGTACTGTTTAATTCTGTATTTTATGAATGATGATTCATGTGGTATTTCTTGAGATTTGTTTCTAGCTAAACCTTTTTCTGAATTTGATATCTGTTTTGTATAATTGATATGAATTTGTAAGCTCATTTTAAGTGTGAAATTTTGTTTTAGTGAGTATATTTTACAGTTTTGAAGGTATTTTGGTGTACCTTCTTGTTGTTTGATAATTGTTGGTTGGTTGATAACAGGATTAGTGCAAAGTGTCAGCAAATTAGTGTTGGTAAAATTAGTTGATTGATGAATTAGATGATGGTTTTTACTGTTTAGTAAATAAGAATGTACTATTGTATAGTAAATTAGGACATAATTTTAATTAGTGAAACTGAATTTGAGTGTTTAATCTTGTTCATTTCAGCCTTTTGTTAATTATTTAATTTTGTTCTTACTTAAAAAATAATTTTCCTTCTTCATAGGGAATGGATATCAGGCAATTTTTTTACCAGTAAATCTGCATAACAGCAATGTCAGTGAGAGAAAACTGGGAATGCAGAGTAGCTCAATCAGGGTGATGTGTTAGGCTCCAGTAAGGAAACAGAAGCAGAGGCATCATGTGTCAGGCCTGTGGATTTCAGAGCAGCTTTTGAGGCCTCTAATTTAGAAGATATTGGGAATGACCCAGTGCAGCCGAAGTTGGTGCAGTATTCTTATAAGCAATTTGGGTAAAAAACAACAACATTCCTTTCAATATCTCTGCTTTGAGAAACACAGGTGGTTGGAATACTGTTCAACAAAATGTATTTTGTTTTGCAAGCAAAATATTTTGGCCAAAACACACCAAATGAAACATAGATGTATTGATTAATAATGTACTTAAAAAACCAGAAGACAGCATGAAAAGGAAGTGGTTCATAAGGCAACCACGTTGGCTTGGGCAGCCTTCGAAGATAGAGGAAGGTGCACAATGATATAATGGAACAGTTGTAAGCAGCAAACGAAAATGAGACCAGAGAAAGATGTATTTATGGTACATCGTTGGTGTCACACAATTTCTTGGAAAGCATGGGATACCATTTAGAAACCACAATGAAGTTAAAGAAAGCCAAAACAGAGGAAAATATATCAAGTGCTTGAATTTATCGATGAAATTTGCCCCATTTCTTCAAAATTACAAAGCACCAGTCAATTCTAGATATACTTCCCCTTCATCTCAGAATGAAATTAGTCAGTGCTGTTCAGGAGAAGTGACATGCAACAAGTCAGTGAATTGAATAAATCATGAATATATGTGATAATGGCAGAAGAAGCAAGGAACAAACATACGGAGCAGTTAGCTCTATGTGTAAGTAATGTTGTTCTAGAAAGTAGTTCAGTGAAACAGCATTTTCTGGGATTTGGCAAATAAAAAAAATTTTAATGCAGATTCATTCACTGAATCAATACAACAACACCTTTGAGCCAATGAGGTTGACAATCTTCAATTTGTAGTACAAACATATGATGGTGTAGGTGTTATGTGTGGAATAAGTGGTAGTGTTCAAGCTAGGCTTCAAAAATATCACCCAGAACCCATTTATGTCCATTGTTAGGCTTACCAACTCAACCTAGTGCTCTATCACACATGTAAGTCAATCATAAAAGCTGCTGATTTTTTAATACATTGGAAAGTGTGTACACCTTCTTCACTACATCACTAATACATCACCAAAGATTCAGCGATGTCCAAACTCAACTCAGATTAAAATACAGCCAATTGGTATAGCTTTCAGATAAATGCGCAGATAATAATGTGCTGTGCAGTGCCTTTTTCAAAATGAAGTCTTCAAAAGCCACTGGTCAGTTAGTAAAACTGCATAAATTGCCAACAGTGCCTGTTTATGTTCCATTCCCTCCTTAGTATAACATAAGCTGCTCCAAAAAAAGAAAACTTTGATTTGGTAAAAGCAGTCAATCTTAAAGAAGCAGTCTGCAGTACTTTAAATAATATGAGAACAAATGAAAAGACAAAAGAAATATGTGAAAAAGTAATGACCTTGTGCATAAACAATGGCATTGACATCCAGAAAACAGCAGTACAAAGGAGAAAACAAAACACATGGGTGATTTTTTTTAAAACTGCAAATGGTGTATGTGAGGATGTCAGCACAATGGATAATATGAGAACACTATTATTCTATACTGGCTTAGATCAAACACTTTTTGAACTTACCAGTGATTCTCTAGCACTAACTCTTTCTCTACAAGTTTAGTCAATTTAAACTAAAAATTGACCTTCAGTTTCCATACTATGACTTCTAATATGTTTTTTGGATCTTCACATTATTTTACAAGCTTTCAGTACACATTAAGAGTTATGTGTAGACTAAAAAATTAGAATTTTTAATGAAGAATTTCCACTACAGATTTCTTCATGAATAAATGGAGTCAAAGTGTTGATTGCTCCAAGTACAAAATGATTTTCAAGTTAATATTAACAATACTTTTCGTCATCTGAAAAATCTCAAATTTCATTTGCTTAATCTTTAAAACCTCCTAAATAAATTTCAAATGTTTATTTTTCAATAAAAAAAACATTTATTTTATCAGTTATTTTATTTACCCAAATTGTGGTCGAGGTTGGTCAATATGACTGACCTCGTATCCCCCCCCCAAGTCCAAATAAATCTAAATTGTCCTTTTTTTTCTTTCCAGAGTGACTTCAAATTGTAACATAAAATTACATTTTTTTATTCTAAATAGCTTAAATCTCATAACAGTATACATCCGTTTCAACTTAAATATTGTTTTACTGCTCTTTGAATTGTATCCAACTAATAATCTCACCACACAAATTGTAAATCACTTGGTTGAAAAGTAAAATGGGACAAACTAGACTAAAGCTCCCTGCAGTGTTTTCGAATGAGAAAAGTATGCTGGAATTTGTGTCTAAGGATGTCGTCACTGACCATTTTCGTTAAAAGACATCACAGGAGGTATACATTGACGCTTCCTAAATAATTTGTAAGTAGGCATTCGATATTATGTTATATACGTGAAAACAAAGTTTAATATTCAAAAGTGTGATGTTCAAGTATGTGCTTTAACAGGATCGTTCTGTGTTTGTAAATTTACAGTTACTATGTCACTGTTTAAATTCACTTAACATACCATATGGCTTGTTTCATCTTACCAGTGTAGTTTAATACATCATTGTATTTTTTTCTGCAAAATGTTGAAATACCTAATTGTTCTTGGTGGACGGGGCTTATGGACCCAAGCCCTGAATCTTTTAAATACCTAGCAACACTTCTGCTGTACAATAACTAAAATCAGTATCAAACTAGATAAAATACTGCATGTGGCTGTGTAGAAATTGAAATTTTCAACCTGAAGAGCACATGGACTAAATGGCCAAGTCAAAGACTCCTACAAAATCTATCAAAGTAGTTCCTAATTTCAAAATACTGATAAAAAAGAATGAACAACACTGAATTAATAATACTGATTGTCACTTTCATAATGCACCTACAATTGAAAGTGTAGAGTGAGTTCAGTGGCATCACATCTCAAATCATGACTGCTGCATTTGAGCACATTTGCTGATCACTAGGTTATATTTAGCCTTAGTTGAGAAGAATGTCCAGTGATTAAGAAAACATACTGGCCAAGGTGCATCAACAATTTTTCATTACCAGAGGCTATATTAAACAATGAATCAAAAAAAATCTTAAAAACAGAAGAATTCTAAATACTTATTGAAGATTTAAACTATTAAGTTCTAACTATAAAAATAGTTTCAACAACTGCAGTTTTCCAAGAAACCAAAGCAACGGTTCAAATAATTGTGACATGAAATTAGCCTATTCTGAAAATCTGAAGTGTAAAAAACAAAAGAATAAGACATAAATCACAAAATTACCTAGTCAGACAGCAATGAATAAAATCCTGTGCTTCTTGACTTAAGTTTTTTGGTATTGATGGTTCCCTTGTGCCTTGGCCAATGACATAAGCTGCAGATAATGGTGGAAGTTCACTCCTATTAAGACACAGATCAAACAATAAAGTTTATCTTTAATTTAGAAATAGGTAAAATAAAAGTTTTTGTTTTCAAACTTTTACAGTAAATTTACATATTAACTCCTTCAATAAAAGTGTCAGTGTATTCAATTCAATTCACATTTTAGCTGTAAACTATATTTATCATGTTTAAGCTTTGAAACTAAATGATAATCTTTTAATATCACTGATGAAATTTCACACTAGATAAATGTCTTTCAAACGAAATTTCTTGATATTAAAAATCTGATTATACACTTCATAATATAAAGAAATCAAAAATTTTGTTAAATTTACCTCCAAAAGTTAAACTTATAATACCTATGCATATAAATTTTTTATCAGCTATACACAAACAAACTAGCTGAATATAAGGAAAGATGTTAAAACAGTAGTTTTACTGATCTGTTAATCTGGGAGAAAATTACGTTCAAGGGCACTAACAATCTTCTTACTATTATGGACATAGCGTGTATGTCAGCATCTATGTACATAACCAAAACTGTGCCATCTATTGAATGGCACCACAAACAAAAATCCATAAAAAAATATCACACTTTGGGTATTCAAGATTCAGACAATTTGAAAAGCAACTGTGGCATGTGCAACAATCATTTCTTTATAATAGAACACAATTTCAAATAAAAGTACTTTCATCACAACAAGAACATGACTTTCACTAGGACTGTTTAAATGTAGTACTGAAAAACTGGAGTTTTTAAAAAAACTATTATTTTTCAATAAATGGCACCACTTTTAACATATAAAAACATTATAGTTTATGTCACTAAAATGTATGAAAATTTCGAGCTCTGTTCATTAAATATTTTGATGCATTGAGTTGCATATGACTAAAGAACACAATCTGAACACTTTTCTCGTGCAGTACTTTCCAGTAAAAAATTTCTTTTTAAGAAAATATTCACTTTTTATAAATCCTTGTCAATGAGCAATGAGGTATGAATACTACAATTAGTAATTACTTGCACAAACAGCCACCCATAGAGCAGCATTTAAGCTAGCATGGATAGCTATTATTACATTTTTTGTAAACTTTATAATTTCATTGTAATGAGACAAATTTTAACTTTCTTTATTGTCAGAATATTTCTAGCACTTATCTTTCCACATGCTCTGTTGAATTGCATACAAACTACCTCAGAGATGTGGGTAATACATCTAGGACGCAACATATGTATTAAGAGTATAATACATTGAGAATAATTTCTAAGATAACATGATATAATTTTCATTTAAAATAACTGAGTGATTAACACAGACACACATGATTATCCAACATATATTAGTGACCTTACACAAATGCACATTTTCATAATCTCTCTGGGCATCTGGGATAGCTTTAGATGTTCAGCAGATTTGCTGAATGAGTAAGGGTATCTCCATTTTCATTAAATCTGACAATAACTTGTTATGGCTTGTTCTATTAATTTGTAATGGTATAAAACAGTTGGTTATTTACCTACCAAGGAGGCTTAGTGGTTGCCATTTCTAGGACAGTGCAGCCAATGCTCCTGTTAAAAAAACAACAACTTGAAAACAATCCTGACATTTCAGAAGATGACTAAGAATCTTAAAATGTGTAAATTCTGTTTAGTAAACATATATATGTATATATACACACATACACATATATATACCTGTACAGACAAGTGGGTGCTACTTTATTCCTCACTTGTATGGATAGTATAAATTACATACAATGAATTTATTTACGTATATACAAGTCCATCCTTATCAGCATTTTCAAACAAACTGATACATGTTTGAACTGTTGATACTAGCAGCTATAAAGCAGTTCAATAATTTCATTTGTTTTCACTACTACCTCAAATACAATTTTTTTTTACTTTAATTCAGAAAACCACTAACAGATGACTAATTTAATATAAATTACAAATGACTTCTTAAGGCAACTGGAAGATTTTTATTCCCAAACCACAACTTAATCTTGCTCATCCCAATTGTATCACTGGCACAGCGATTCTTAACTGTCAACTACTTGTAGCCAGCACATATTCTCAAAGTCTGTTTAACCCTTCTTACCAAATGTCTGATTTGTGTGAACACTCTTTCTCTTGCAAAATTTCAGGTGCCATCCAATAAGGTGTTCCTTTTACTGAACGAATCTGTCTGTCATCTGCACCGAAACCCTGAAAAGTGATAGGAATCATACAACATACATGCAAGATACTTTAAGTAATTTATAACACGTAACTGACAAGGTCATTAAAACACGTACCTGTCATAACGGAAATACAAAACTTATTTTCAATACATATTATATTAACAAGCAATTAAGTATTCACAAGTATTGGGAAAATAGGAATATGGATATTTTCTCACCTATTGGTAACACATTAAAATAGCATATTGGAAGAAAAATGCAATAAATTATGAATAATGTTCTCACAAAAACAATGGATATAGAAAGAAACTAAACAATCACAAACATTATACGAGTACTTCCTGTTTCAGTTAGTTATCATGATATTAAAACAAAAAAACAACAAAAAGCTATAGAAGTTTTAATGATAAAAGTTAAAAATGCGAGTGAGTGCATATTTTAGCATCATCTGAAGATTACCTAAAACTACCACACAAAATTATTGGTACAAGTAATAGTAACCTAAAATTTTTACATTAAATATTAGTAGTACACCTAAAGGTAAAAAAGTTAAAAAAACGAACTACAAAAGCCATCCTCTATTATCAGCTTATATTCTTGATTCATTTACATGCAAAGATTTGATATTACAATATTCAAATGAGTGTATTTTATGTTCAAACTTTACAGCATTTCCTTATAAACATAAAATCACAGGATTGGTGGTCTAATAGATATTGAAAAGATATGTTAGTTACCATGCAGATATTCTTGGCACATCCGAAGTCAATAAGCTTAATTAATCCACAAGGGTCATTAGGCATCACCATAATGTTAGCCCCCTTTATGTCTCGATGTACTACACCATTACCATGAAGGTAAGCAACAGCCTCAAGTGTTTGACTTGTATAATGTCTTATTACAGATTCGGAGAATGCTCCAAACTGAGATAGATTGGTGGCAATTGAGCCTCCAGGAACATATTGCATGAAGATATTAATGGTTTCACCATCTAAACGAGTTCCAAGGTAACTGTAATTTAAATAAAAGTTTTTAAAAACATACCCTTTGGAATAAAAAATCACCATTACACCATTTATCCTTTATTTCATTGGTATTAATCACAAGACAGTTTTATTGAAGAGGTGATGACACGGAAATAAACAATTTTAATTAAGCTATGAAATTAAGAAAAAAAATTAAATCATAAGTTATGTAAAAAAGCTTATGATACAAGTAAATAACATTAGTTTTACTCATCACATCAATACATTGTCTTATATTGTTTTATATGGCTTACTTTTATGGCTTATAAGCTGTTACACTTACCATTTGTTAATGAAATTAAAAGCCCAAATATGAAGTAAATATCTCATGCTCATTACAAATTATTTTTTGAAACACCAAATGTTTGTTTTAAACTATTTAATTTCATAGAAATATTTCTTTTTTTAATAATAGGCTTAACTGAACCTCTCATACAGATGAAAGCAATTTATTTATTTATATTTCTGGAGATATAGTTTGAAAAATTTTTTAAATCTTAGGCAAAATGGAGAGGAAAAGTATCAAATGAACAGTTTCAATTAACAATGAGCAAAATTACAAGTACTGGTTGGATCAGAATAGTCTATAGTCTACAGAAAACAGCAGAATTACAAGTACTGTTTGGATCAGAGTAGTCTGTGGTCTTGTAAGGCTATAGGAAAAAGCAGAATTCCACAGTGTATTTGGATGGTTTGGAATTTTCAGTTGTAGCTTATTTGAAAACCTCACAAAACTAAAGAGCATTAGTATAACTAGCAGAAATGCTGCCCTACAGGTGGCTGTTTGTGTTAATATTCATACTTCATTGAAAAAAATTTAGAAAAGTGAACATTTTCTAAAAAATATCGTTTTTCTGGGAAAGTATTGCATGAGAAAAAGTGTTCAAATTGTGCTCTTGTACGCAACTCATTGGATTAAAATGATTCAATGTACAGAGCTCAATATTTTCATAAATTTTACTGACATAAACTGTAATGTTTTTGTATGTTAAAAGTGGTCCCATTTATTGAAAAAATAATAGTTTTTCAGGACTACATTTACAAATTACATCAATAAAGATATAATCAAACCCTCACATACAGTCCTAGTGAAAGTCATGTTCTTATTGTGATGAAAGTACTTTTGTTTAAAATTGTGTTCTATTATAAAGAGATAGTTGTTACACATACCACAGTTATTTTTCTAATTTTTTGAATCTTGAATACCCAAACTTTGAAATTTGTTATGGATTTTTGTTTGGGATACCATTCAATAGATGGTGCAAGAGTTTTGGTTATATACATAGATACTGACATACACACTACATCTATTACAGTAATAAGATGGAAACTGTCCATCTGATATTTTATTTGAGTCTATGCTACGGATGTAACGACTCCTCATACTAACCTAACAATATTTTTATGCTGTAACGTCCTTAACAATTCCACCTCTTGTTGTATGGCTTGGTATTCTGCTGCTGCTAACTGCTGGTCAGTCTGTTCTAACTTGACCTGCTTAACAGCTATAAGGTCTCCTGTATCAGTCAGACCACACCAGACCTTTAATATTTAAAACAAAAAACAAAATATTTTTGTTTTGCAGCACAATACAGATATAGCAGATACGTACTATCTACAGTGAAAAACAGTTGAACTATAGGTTGGATGTGTATAGGTCCTATATAATATTAACTTTTACAGGTGAGATAAGATTGAGTTTCAAATGTCAGGGTCTCGGTTGATACCATAATTCCTAGTTTTGGTATTCAAAATACATATATGTAAGCTTTTTGGACAATGCACAGTATTAAGTGATACTGGGAATTATGCTATTCATTCAGGAAAGTAACTAAATATACATGTCATCTGAACAGTATTTTTCTGTAGCAATCTCTTTCACTGATCTGAATTACATCCCTGAAAAACAACAACATTAAACATTACATTAACACAGCTAATATTCATCTCTAGCCACAGACATAGTAAGAAAGAAAAGAACTAGAACATCCTTATAGCAAAGGAATAATTACACGATATAAACAAGTAAAGCACATATAACAGAGAATGTGATAACATTCTTCAAGAGAAGTTTATACAATGTTTAAAGAACCAATCTAGGGAATGCTTTACAACTAGCTAATTATATAAAATGACCAATGCTTATGAAAGAACATCCCTTCAGGATATACATAGATTTACTTATGAAAAAAAACAACACATAACCCTCTTGTAGTATATGCATAGACTGATTTATGCTTAATTTCTGTTAAGCTAAGTTGTTGGTATGAGCACTAACAAAGTATTTTAACCTATTTATAGCTTTGTTAGAAAGTCATAAGAATTATAATCGTTTTGGGACATTCTATTCTAGTGACTGATATATCTTTTGTGCTCTAAAATGCTTATTTGAAAGGTAAATTAATTTTTTGACAACTAATTTAGAGAAAAAAAAATAAGGCTTAGTAGAGTCATTCTTGTGAGTACAAAATTACATAGTTCACATGCAAAGAATTCGCAGTGCAAAAGATGATGCTAATATGATCCCACTGTGATTTATTGTTTTTCACAGATGGATAAACTGCTTCTGTGGTACAATCTAGGTAATAAACCTATAAAATCAACAGAAAACAGATGTTAACACTTCAAATTTTGAAGAAAATTAACTTGAAAATCTTGAATCAATCATAATTTCAAACAAGAAGAAAAAGATACTGTTTATTTTATTTCATGATTTTTCAACTTTTAATTTCACTGTGCACTAATGATTTCAGAGAGAAAATAAGACTAAAAGTAAGAATTTAAAAAAATAAATATTCATTTAAGAGATTCTAGAGCAGTGATTCTCAACCAGGGGTAAATTTACCCCTTGGGGGTAAAAAATTACATGGCAGGGTGTAAATAATTGATGTATCTGATGATTGAATAATAATTCAATTAAATTTCATTTTGTAACATGTGTGTGTGTGTGAGAGAGAGAGAGAGAGAGAAAGAGAGAATGCTAAGAATGTGTGTGTGTGTGCTCGCATGCATGCGTGAGGGAGGAGGGGGGAGGAAGGGAGAGTGTCAGTCAATCCTGTTCAGTCCTATACAGTCACTATACTAATTCATAATTATTTCTTTTCAGATTTTGTCATGTCCAAGAAACGTACATACCTGGATTCATATGTACAATATGGTTTTGACTTCATTGTTGTGGATGGTGTGGAGAAGCCTCAGTGTCTGCTGTGCTCAAAAGTTCTTGGAAATGGGTCACTGAAACCTTCAATTTTGAAAAATCATCTGGAAGCTACACATCCTTCCTATGCATCTGATGACCGTGCTACATTTGAGGCAAAG